CGCGCGAAGGGCCGGGGCCCGGGAGAACGGGCTGGCTGAGCAAAGGAGCAGGGAAGGAGGGGGAGGGGGAGCCGAAGGGCGCGGATGCCTGGACCGGAGCGGCCTCCCCCTCCCCGAGGTCGGGGGCGCCTTAGCCGCTGAGAAGCGGGGCTGCAGTTTCTGCAGCTGGATTTCCCACTCTGACAGGCGCCATTTTACCACCCAAAGGGCTCCCTCCTCCTTTCTTCCCCCCTCCTCTTCACCTCTGACACTACTTCCGGTGGTGACGTGTATTCGCTTCACCCGGACTAAGGTTCCTCACTCGGCCTATGGGGGTGGGGATAAGGAAAGTAGCGTGTGCCCCGAACAAGGCCGCAGTACCGCGCACGCGCGGAAGGTGGCGGTGGGGCGGGACCCGGGGCGAAGCAGGCCCCGCCTCTAACGAGGTGAATAGGGAGTGACTCCAGTTGACCCCAAGTTCGGGCGGTCGGGCGGGCTCGCGGCCGTCTCCCCCTCCCGTCGGCAACCGCCCCAACCGCTCTTCCCGCCCTAGTTACGGTAAAAAATGTGGAGAGGGGCGTCGTCCGTACGTATGTGCGCCTGGCACTGGAGGGGCCCCTTCGTGTGAGCCGCCCTGGGAATATTGAACATAATGTGACCTTTCATTCCAGTCTATGCAGGGTCTTGGTGGTGGGAGGAATCAAGGATGCCCCGCCCCTTTCCCCTGGATGGGGCGGGGCAGCAGGCCGTGACGCCATCAGAGGGCGTCTGAGAAGGCTGGGGATGCCAGTTGGAGATGTTGGAGTCGCTTTTGGCTCTTGGCGGCCTGGTGCTGCTTCGGGGTGAGGGTCACAGGCACAGGGGCTTCGGAGCCGAGGTTAAGTCGAGAGGAAGGGCCATGGGTCACAGGCTAGGGGTGGAGGTAGCGACGGGTTCGTGAAAGCGGAAACCTTTGTTCTCACACTGTTTATCCGTCCCTCACTCCCCAGACTCAGTTGAGTGGGAGGGGCGCAGTCTCTTGAAGGCGCTTATCAAGAAATCTGCGCTGTGGTGAGTATCCTGCAGCGTCTTCCTGTCCTCCCTGGGAAGGAAGTCTGGGCCCCACTCTGACATTCTGCTCATATGTACCTCAGTGGAGAGCAAATCCATATCCTGGGCTGTGAAGTGAGCGAGGAAGAGTTTCGTGAAGGTTTTGACTCCAGTATCAACAGCCAGTAAGTACAAATTGGAAGAGAGTTTGTTGGATGTGGGACCTCTATTGATAAGGAGTTTCCCTTACAGCAACACGAGCAGAACCTGGTATGTAGTAGCAGCACTTATTCATTGAATGAGTGGATATGAGTCTTTTAGGACTTGGGAATTGGTAAGAGGAATGATAAGGAGTAGTAAGTATGTAGAGATTCATAGCAGAGATTATAGAATGTGAAAGACATAGAGGGTAAAGGCGAACAGTACAGTTTAGTACTAGAAGCTTTACTGGAGAAGAAAAATAAACGTTTTGCCTTTTTGAGTTCCTCAGAATCTGGGGATGCTTAATCCAGACATGGATTCTAAACTTGCATCAACGCTTAACTGCAAGCTACTGAGGGACTTGCCCTACAGGCAGAGGGAACTGCATATGCACAGTTAGGTATGGGAAAGCGTACCTGTTCATGGACGGTGGAAGAGTTTACTGAAGTCACACAGATAAAAAGTTACCTGATCGTGAAAAGTCTTACAGAGTCTGAAAAGAAGATTAAATGTTATTGTAAAGGAAGTGGGGAGGTATTTGAAAATTTGGGAGGGGAGTAATATCATCATTTCTGTTAAATTCAGTGACCACAGTGTTGGCAGGAGCCAGCCTGGAGATAGGGAGACCATGTGGGAAGACTATTGTAGTAATCCGGGTTCAGTCAGGTGGTTATGTACTGAGCACCAATTATAAACCAGTGCTAGGCACTGGAGATACAGCAGTGAATGAGGCAGCAGGGATATGATCCCTGTTCTAATGAATCAGAGAATAATGGTAGGATGTGATAGGCCTGGCTTGAGGGAATGGCAGTAGGGATGGCCATGAATTATAACAATTTATATCTGTCTGTTGAGCCCTAATTTTGTACAAGCCAGTGTAAGAGAGGTGATGCTATGTGTTAAGATATCATTCATAAGGGAAATAGAAGATACAAAGGAGATGTCTGGGAACAAGTTCTGCCACCATGAAGCTTTCCCAGGATTTTTAGCCCACATCAGTCTCCCTTTCCTGAATTGCTATTTTATCTGTAGTTAGTACCACAAAACTTAATTCTTGACCTTTGCTAAGCTGTTCTACAGCTGGAACCATGCCTGTGTTCTTTCCTTTCTCTTCATTCATCCAGAGAATTATACACTTTAGGCACCACTCAAGACATATTTGACAGTGATGATAGCTAACATTTATCAAGTATTTAGTATGTCTCAGACACTGTGCTAAATATCAAAAGGTTTGCATTCCTATTTTACAAATAAAGAAACCAAGTCTTAGATTAAGTAATTTATTAGTTACGGGACCTTGGGCAGTTAGCAAACCCAGGCTTTGAGCTCAGGGCTGTCTGATGTCAAAGTCTGTACACTCAATCACTATTTTCTACTTCTCAGTTATTACCTGTCACTGGTATTTAAGCTATTAGTGAAAATTGAGAAAACAGAGCCACAAAAGTCAGAGAATGAATTTCAAGATTGGGGGGAGAGGGCAGTATTATGTTGTCTCCTATTTTCTCTTTGCAGGCTAGTTTACCATGACGTCTTCAGAGACCCTCTCAACTGGTCAAACACTGGGGAAACCCTTCCTGGGGGTGCCCTGGGAGTCTTGAGAACAATGTGCAAGAGGACAGGCTCTGGTCCTGTCACCATTGCTCTTGATTCACTTAGCTGGCTGCTGCTTCACCTTCCCTGCACCACACTTTGCCAAACCCTTCATGCTCTGAGCCATAAGGACTCCCGCCCTGGTGAGACTCCCTCCTTCATTATTTCCCTTCATACATCTCTCCCTGCCAAGGAATTTGCCCCTTTCTACCCTAAGAAAAAACATATTGGGGATCTCCAAGTGAACCTTCTTTCATCTCTTTATTTAAAAAAATTATTAGTTTAACCATTTTTAAATATGTTTTTATTGATTTTAGAGAGGAGGGGAGAAGGAGAGATAAACATCAATGTGAGAGAGAAATATCAATTGGCTGTTCCCCACACACCCCCTACTGGGGATCAAGCCCAAAACCCAGGCATGTGCACTGACTGGGAATTTAACCGGCTACCTTTTGGTACATGGGGCATCACTCAGCCAACTAAGGCACACCAGCTAGGGCCCTTTTTTCATGTCTTTAACCTTTATACTAGTTCTTGACTTCTCTGTAATGCCACCTACCAATCACTTTTTTCTTATCCAAGTTCTTGTTTACTCATCTATTTTATTCACTCAACAAACATTAAATATATATAATGTATCAGATACAATTTTAGATAATGGGAAAATAAAGACTAACTATAGTCAGGTCCTTGTCTTCCAGGAGCTCAAAGTTCATCAAGGATACAGACAAGTAAACAAACAGATACAAGATATTCTGATAAGAGCCATGATGATAAGGAACATGCACAGAGTACCTTAAGGAAGGAACTGTCTTAGAGCAAGGGGTCAGCCCAGCAAATTTAGGCACACGGCACTAGGACTAGCCTTGAAGTACAGGGTGGGGCAAAAGTGGGTTTGCAGTTGTGAGTACATGAAATTAGTTATTCTTGTATAATTATTAATTTATTGTATTACCTTTTCTCTTTTTTCTTTTTTTAAACATGTCTTTATTGATTTCAGAGAGAAAAGGAGGGGGAGAGAGAGAGAGAAACATCATTGATGAGAGTCATTGATTGGCTGCCTCCTGCACGCCCCCTGCCGGGGATCAAACCCACGAACCAGGCATGTGCCCTGACTGGGAATCAAACTGTAATCTGGATCCTAGGTCAATGCGCAATGGCTAAGCCACACTGGCTGGGCTTGCTCTTTCTTTATTTTAATTCTCACCCAAGGATATTTTTTCCATTGCTTTTCAGAGCGAGTGGAAGAGAAAGAGAGACATTGATGTGAGAGGAACACACTGATTGATTGCCTCCCACACGAGGCCTGACTAGGGCCCGGGATCGAGCCTGCAACCAAGGTACGTGCCCTTAGCTGGAATCGAACCCGGGACACTTCAGTCTTGGCCCCACACTCTAACCACTGAGCCAGACCAGTTAGGGCAATTACTGTATTATTTTTCTTTTTTTTCTTTTTTTCTTTTTTAAATATGTCTTTATTGATTTCAGAGAGAGGAAAGGAGAGGGAGAGAGAGAGATAGAAACATCAATGATGAGAGAGTCATTGATCAAGCACGCAACTGGGCATGTGCCCTGACTGGGAATCGAACCCCGATCGCCTGGATCCCAGGTTGACGCTCAACCGCTGAGCCACGCCCGGCAGGGCTGTATTATTTTTCATCCGAAGAACAGTAAACCTCCTTTTGCCCCACTCTGTGTACTATGGGTACTAGCATGGGCTTTGGAGTCAGATAACTAGGTTTATATGAAGGTACTTGATCTCTCAGTGCTTCAGTTTCCTCTCTAAAAGTGTAGAATTGCCATTTTTTATAGTTAGATATAGTCAGATGTGAAATATGAGCAGTTTTATATGGTTCAACCCCAAAACTACTGACCTTTATAAGGATCGAAATGTTACGTTAAAGTGTTTAGGGCAGCCCTAGCTAGTGTGACTCAGTGGTTAGTGTGTCAGTCCATGCACCAAAGGGTCAAGGATTTGATTCCCAGTCAATGGCACATACCTGGGTTGCAGATTTGATCCCTGGCCCCAGTCCAGGCACATAGGGGAGGCAACCTATCAATGTGTCTCTCTCTCACATTGATGTTTCCCTCTCTCTCTCCTATCTCTCTCTCTTTCTCTCTCTCTCTCCCCCCTTTCCTCCCTCCCTCCCATTCAAAAAATCAATGGTAAAAATATCCTCAGGTGAGGATTAACAACAACAAAAAAAGGTGTTTAATGTAGTGCCTAACACTCTGTAAATGCTTCCCAAAAGGGAGGGAATCAAAGAGACTGGCTGGGATATTGGCAAGTTCCAAAAACTGCAAGTAATGCAGTATGTAAGAGATGAAGCAGGGACTAGATGATGAAAGTGTTAATTCACCCTTGAGGCCATGAGTTGCTCCTGAGGGTTGTAGTCAGAGTGGTATCTTGATCAGATTTACATTGGAATAAGAAAATACATGAAAGGTGAGAGCTGAAAAGGGGTCAGTGCAGGGCCATGAAACTGGCCAAAGTAAGTTGGAAATGTGGCTGTGATAGAATGTGGGCCTACCTCTATTTCCTTCTTTTCACTATTTGATCACAGGCCTCCACCCAGAATGCTCCCTACTGCCCTATGTGACTTATATTTCTTGTCCCTCCCCAGATGACAGCTGCCCAGTAGAACATGTGCGTGTGCTGGGCCTGCTACATGAAGAGCTTCATGGCCCAGGCCCCGTGGAAGCATTGAGCACCCTTGCTCAGACTGAGGTGACCCTGAGTGGTACAGGGGGCCAGGCCTCGGCTCACATTCTCTATCGGAGGCCCCAACATCATCCAACACATAAGGTCAGGAGGAGCACAGGAGGACTAGAGGTTGGGGTTAGACAGGGGAACAAAAAAAAGCTGATGTGATGGAGCACTTCTCTGTGCTTGCGTCATTTCATTATTTCCCTCATTTAATCTTCACAGCTACCCTGTGAGGTAGTTTTATTATCCCTGTGTTTTTGTTTTGTTTTAATACAGTTTTATTGATTTTTAGAGAAGAAGGGAGAGGGATAGAGAGATAGAAACATCAATTGGCTGCCTCCTGCATGCCCCCTTTTAGGGATCAAGCCCGCAACCCAGGCATGTGCCCTGACCAGGAATCAACTGGTAACTTCTTGGTTCATGGGTTGACGCTCAACCACCGAGAAACCTGGCCGGGCTATTAGCCCTATTTTTCAGCCTAGGGAATTCAGATCCTGTGAGCTTAACCAGTAAAAGACAGTGCCTTCCAGGAAATGGAAAAGGAGAAAAGACTGGGAGTGGTTTCTAGGGAGGAGAAGGGACAAGTTCCCATGGAGGGGTTTGAAGGAGGGGTGAGAGGTGGACAAGAGCGGAAAGCAGGCGGCTGTATAGCTGATTTAGGCTGAAGGTACTAGGTCTTTAGTTCTCCCTGGTGTCTTCAGTAAGGTGGAAGAAACTAATACTCTCCTTTCTTTTCCCCAGACTCAGTGGTTCTCCATCCTGCCTGACTTCAGCCTGGATCTCCAAGGGGGTTCTCCCCTAAAGTCGAAGCCTGATCCAGATCCTCACACACCCCCGGTATCTAAGAGTGCCAGGGTCAGAACAAGAGAATGGAGTTGGGGTCTGACAAAAAGAGAGGAGCATAAAAACTGCAGAGGTTGGGCGTGGGGTTGGAGATTTCAGGGACGGGGCATAGTGGCAGCATCCTTTGTACCTACAGGTGGATCCCACAGCTCACTTGACCTTTAACCTTCACCTGTCCAGGAAAGAGAAGGAAGCCAAAGATAGTCTGACCCTGCCCTTCCAATTCAGCTCTGAAAAGTAAGGTTTCAGCCTATGTGTCCAGGTCCTTGAGTAGAAAACCCAGCATCTGGGCCTAAGAGGTGGGGTGACAACAGGTTATTGATTAACCTCTCAGACTTTATAAGGGTTGAAGTCCGTCTCCAGAGCCAAATCTGGGGAGTGGTTCTCTACCCACCCATACCCCAACAATGACAAAGAGCCTTTATCTCCTTTTTTCTCCATTACAGCCTTGGGTCCCAACTCCACAGTTGTCCCCAGAGCAATCTCGGTCTAGGCTGAGCCAGACCAGACCCTGGAGAAATGGCCCTATCTCCAGGCAACAGTGCTAGGACAGGAAGCTAGATGGGGAGGGCAAAGACAGGTTAATAAGGACTTAGTAGATGCCTGTTCTATGCCCAGTGTGTGGGTGGATGAAGCAAGACTATGGCAGGATCCTTGCCCTCAAGCTGCTAAGAATAAAAACTTAGAGTAGTATGAGAGCGGGAGTCTTCTAGTACCAAATGGTGCTTCAGTACTAACTAAACCAGGGGTCAGGGAAAGGGACTTGGGCCAAGAAAACATGGAGAACAAAGAGGGAGTCACAGTCACCGTGTACAGGGTATTCAGACAGGACTCCTGTTACCCACCCTTACCAGCACCAATTCTTTTCTCATCTCTCAGACAGCAGGCTCTACTATGCCGTGGTCAAGGCCAGGCTACCAGCCACATCTTCTATGAGCCAGATGCTTATGATGACCTGGACCAAGAGGACCCAGATGATGACCTAGATATTTGACTAGACTGAAATTGGAGGGGGGTGGGAGACCTTGGGCCTGTTCCCATCCTTCCATTGTTCGAGTTGGCCTTGCCTTGTCCCTGCCCCGTATCTGTTTCCTCTGTTTCTGGGGGCCCTACCCTATGATCCATGAGCTAGGGAGCAGTGTCCAGTCCTGACAAAAAGTGGGATGCTGGCAGAGGGGAAGGTAAGAGACTAGGAAATCCGTCTTCTCTCCCCCAAGCCTAATAAAAAAAAATTTTTATTAAAAAAGAAACTCTGGTAGCTATTTAAGCAAGAGTTGGGAGTAGAAGGGACTGGAGGTTGGGAATGGATGGAGGAAACCAAGCACCTGAGTCTTCTAGAGTCAATAGTCAGTGTTGGGGGCTGAAGAACAATGAAGTGGTGGAACAGGGATGGCGTGCAACGCCATTGGTGCTCAATGTGTATATTTTAGATTCCAGGCTCCCTACAAGGAGCTCAGTAGGAAGAAAGCAGAAAGGGGAAGGAAGAAAAGCCAACTTTCCAAAACATACTTTTTATTACTGTACAAAAAGCACATCCACCCCTCTTTTGTTCTCTCCCACCTAGCCCCCAGGGAATTGTACACGGTGTGCAGGACAGGCTCCTGTACATCCTGCCCCCGGGCTGAGCTCTCTGCCCCAGTCCTTTCAAGCGTCTAGGCCACCAGGCTGGGGCAAGGGAGTCCCAGTTCACACGTACTCCTTGGCAGAGTTGGGCTTAGGGTAGGAGCGGGGTGCACCGTACCCAGCTTTTGTCTCACTCCCAGGACAGGAGCAAGAGAGCAGTGCACCTCCCAAAAGGACCAGAGCAGACCCTGCCCAGCCAATGAAGATGGCAGGACCAAACTCGTACCTGTGGAGAGAGGGGATTGGGTTCAGAAACCCTGGCCTCTCCTGACCCCAGACCTGTCGGTCCCCTTAGGAGGCAGGACTCCCATACTTACTTAACATTCATGGGGACCAAAGGGTTATAAAAGTCTGTGATAATCATGTGGCCATACCAGGAGCAAGCTATCAAAGCAGCAAGACCTAGAGGGAGAATGAGGATTTTGACATTGTGCGACCCCAAACCAGCACCATACCCACCCTCACTCCTCAGAGCCCTTGAGGCTACCTTGGACCTGCGACTCACCTGCCACGATGAAAATGATGCCTCCGGTCATGGCTATGCGGGCCTTCTTCACTTTGTCATCTCCCCCACAGCGCGTACACTTCATGCCCATCGTGGCCACGAACATGGCCAGGAAGCCCAGCACCAGGGACACCACCATTAGGGCTCTAGTGGCCTGAAGGGCCGCTGAGAGGAAGGAGGAAGAACTTGCATTGCTGGAAGTGCGGCAGCCTTCGAGCCGGCCGCCCCGGGCCTGAGATGCCCCCGGCGGCCAGGTCCCGGCCGGTTCGGGGTGGATCCCGCTCCGGGGCCTGCGGCGCTGCCCCGCCCTGCCGCGGCTCTCAGACCCGCCCGGGGCGCCCGGGTTTCGATGAAACTGCCCGGGTAGGGGGAAGGGTGACAGGGGACAGCGGAGGCGGCGGCTGGCGACTCCGCACGGGCCGCAGACGACGACCTGCGGCCCAGTCCTGACCCCACTGTCGAGGCCACGGGGTTTGTGGCTTCGTCTAATCGGCCGATAAGATTAGAGGCCGCAGGCGCCTGCCCACGTCTGACAGGCGCGCACGGCTCCTCCGCGGGATCCCGCGGCCGCCCTTTGTCTTAGAGAAAAGGGCGGGAGTGGCTGAGGCCATTGCCAGCCTAGGCCGGGGGACAGCAGAGACCGCGGCCCAGGCCCCGGCCTCCCGCTGAGAAACGGGGCGCAGAGGGTGCGACGGGCGGGGCAGGCCCACTCCAGCCAGCCCCGCTGCGCGGCCGCCCGCGTCCTCCCTCCTCTCCCGCTGGCTCCCAGGCAACCCAGGGCGTCGGGGCCCGGGCCACCCGGAGACCCCGGCCTGGGCGCGTCCGCCCCCTCGGTCTCACGGCCTTACCAGGCAGGGCGAGCACCGAGTCGTACATTTTGCAGCTCATCACTCCCGTGCTCTGAGTGACGCAGTCCATCCACAGCCCCTTGTACATGGCCTGGGCCGTGATGATGTTGTCGCCCGCGAACGAGCTCATCTGCCACTGCGGGATGGCGGTGCACGCCACCAGGCCCACCCAGCCCAGCAAGGCCATGGAGAAGCCCAGCAGCTGCAGGCCCGAGTTGGCCATTGCGCCCTCAGGAAGGACCGGGGGCGCGGGCGGCCGCCTCTGCCGTGAAACAAACTCGGAGGGGCAACCTCACGAGACAACTTGGGTTGGAGTCACAAGTCACCCAAAGAGAAAAAAGAAGTTTTTGGTCGAGTGACTGCGAATTTCTTATCACCCGAAGTAAACACAAGTCGCCCCTCCGGCGGGCCGAGTATCTCCCAGCAGAAGGAACAGGTTGCGCTCGGAAGACTGGTGGCCGACCAAGGCGATCCCCGAAGTCCAGGCCGTTCCCCGCGGCGCTCTCGGCTACGCTTCCCGAACAAAAGGTGGCGGGGCCGTAGGGGCCGTCCTGGGTGTTGGAAGTCCCCAAAGTACCCCGGGCAGTAGGCCGGCGCCAGGTGCAAGCCGCGGAGAGCGAGCAGATGCGGGCGGACAGGTGCGGCGCACCTGAGTATATGTAGGGCGTCGGGGGCGCGCCCCGCGGGCACTGGGAGGCGAAGGGGAGCGGAACCGGAGGGGCGGCCAAGAGTGACCTGACGTCACCGAAGGGACACTCACCTGGGCCGGAAGTCCTGGCCCCCACCCCTCCTCTCCCAGGTATAGAGGAAGGAACCTGAGCGCCAGGGTCACGCCCCTTCTCTTGCCTGTCTTTGACCGCAGGTGCGGAGGAGGCGGAGGCCTCTCGGAAGTCAGCCCCCCTGGCCTGGACTTCGCTCCAGCATCCCGACGCCCCTTCCCAGCGCCCCAACAGGTGCGCCAGGCCCGCCGCCGCCCAGCCTTCGCTCCGCCCCCTCCCCACCGCGGGGACTCCCCGCTTCTGCTCTAGGCGCTCTCCGTCCCGCCCCACTGTCCCCCCACCTTCTGCTCCATTCCCGTTTCCTCTGTCTCCTCTCCCAGTCGACCCCATCTTCAGGGGCCCTGGCGCCAATGCCTCAGGACTCTCACCTCGGCAGCCGAGTTGGAGTCGCCCCCAGAGCCGCCGCCCCAGCCCA